CAATAACATTAAAACGCCGTATAGCGCACCTACGTCACATAATTTATACGTATTTATTTATCGTATATTTGTGTGCGGAACGTGCAATAAATTCGCGGCGCAAAGCTATTTTTGCTATAGCACAAGTGTGTAATAATAATAATAATATAATAATGTAACGTTTATACTACATTAAATGCGCGCGTATTGTTTTCGCTCGCGAAACTATTGCGGCGGTCGAACGTTATCCTCCATTAAAATGCACGCGCGGCGTACACATTACAATAATAATAATAATAAAAAAAAAAAAAAAAAAACAGTTTATTTACAGTCGTCGGGACGCTCGAAACCAACGGGGCCGCGCGGTCGGGGAAAAAATTACGGATACGCGAGCGATTTCGCTTCACCCACAGTGTATCGTGCGTCGGACCAGTGTTTTCCGATAAGTATTTGAACGCGTATCAAGATCGGTTCGGCGAAAAAAAAAAAAAAAAACGGTTCTGCGCGAAACTCGGTTAAACGGGGTCCCCGGCCCCAGCCCGAGACCGGTTCCCCGATGAATTCGAATTTCGAAAACGTCTATGAAAAATTCGTTCGCTGTCGACTAAATAATCTATAAACATAATTCGCGCGTTGTTATATTACACAAATCGTTGTACGCATCGAAAATGCGGGCGAAATACGTCGGACATAATTATACCGCGTCCATAGAAAACGTCTGACGTTCCTTGCGATTGATCCCAACGAAAAAAAAAAAATTAAAATACACCGATTTTTATATATGTAAAAAAAAAAAAAAAAACAAGTCTTTGCGTAATACTATGTCGGCGCAGGTGCGTTTGCAAAAAACTTCGAGGGGGTGGGGGCATTAAGGTTGTACGCTTTCATACTCTAATAACGCACAAGACCACATATGCATTCAACTGCAAGAGTATTTATTTTTCATTAAAAATGTCAATATTTTATAACTTTCATTTTTAGCCTTTTAGGTTACCTGGTATTACTAAATTTTAAATTTAATATTTATTTATTTATTTATTTTGATGATAAAGTGGTGTAACAGTCCACATATCGCCGCGTCCGTTATAGTTTTCTAAAAGCGAGAAAACCACGAAAAATTAGAAATGACAATAATAACAATATTATATAGCGCGTAAATTATTAATAAAATAAAAATAAAACCAGAATTTTATTAATTTTTCTCATTGAAAGAAACCGCTTTTGAGACTGTATTGAAAATCTACTTTCGTTATAATTTTCATGAGATTTCGGGGAGGAAGGGGGAGTATAAATCCCTAAAATCCCCTTGTACACGCGCCTGTATCTGCGTCAGGTTTTCCGACGTTTTATTTATTTTTTTTTCAGTTTTTCTGTGTTTTTTCCTCGATTTTTAGAAAAAAGACCTACATAAGGGATATCGAGGAGAGAAATACTCCTATCTAAAAAACCCGTCACTATAGCGTTAAGTAATGGCTCTATGCCCTGGTCAAAACCGTGTCAACAGACAATTAAGCAAACATCGCGGTGAAATCGATAAATTCCTCTCACGGAATCTAAAATGCGGGTAAAGTAGCCGATCGGAAATTCCGGTGACAGTATTTTGATTGGAAACTGTGTTACAGTATTATTATAACACAAACGGTCTATATCGAAATGGCGTTCGCGGCCCGGGGTTTTTTTAAACGGACGCATTTTTTTTGTTTTCGTCGCCTCAAACGTGTCAGCCGTATCCAAGCACGTGCGGCCGGGTAGACGGTTCGGTGAAAACATAATAATATATACAAGCGCACAGTGTAAAACGTTCCAGATCAGTGAAACGGCTGACAGGGGGATGCGAGCGCGGAGCATCATTATCGCAACAGGACGACTTAATTAAAACCTTCAACCGCAACGTCGCTGAAAACCCGGGCTTACAGTCGCACGGTGTTGTAGCTCACTCGGATAATGAATTATTATTGTCCGTCGGGTTATTGTTTCGATTTTTCTACCCGGCAGGTATATTACGCGCATACCGCACTACACTGTATTGTTAGTGTGGGTACGTATTGTACCCAATAGAAAGTATCGGCGAACGTGTTCGTGCAAAGCGGAAAAGGTATCTACACCGAAATGCGAATATTTTAGAGATAAAACACATAATAATATACGGTAAAATAGAAAGAGAACAGTATTTCCGAGGGAGACTCGTGTCCGCGTTGTATTCACGAAAACAAAAAGGCATTTTGACGTACGCTTTCGGAGAAGACAGGGAAAAAGAATCGTTTTGAGATTATTTAATATTTTAAATAAGTTTCGGTTGTTCTTTCGTTCATACCGTAATCACAACATCGATATTTCAATTTAAATCGGAGTTAAGTGACCGGGAAACTTGTTTCCCCAGAATAAAAAGGCAACTTGAATAATTATACCATATTAAATACAATTTCACCGTAAAAATACAAGTACATTGAGTAATTTGTTTTTATTTGTCTAGCATATAACGAAGTAAATTAATATTTTTTTATGATAATATTCATAACGATAAAAATTTGGCCACCTTGTACAATGCAACCTATAATGACATTATTATATTCCTGTTATCACAGCATTTGTTGTAATAATACAATTATTATTAAACAGTGAATAGCTTATGTAGGTATTTTGTTATTTTCAAGATGTATTTATCATTATTTCTAATTATTTCTAATTCGAAAATATTTGGAATCCATAATACTATCTTGTTATATACTTTTTATCACGAAGTGGTTAAACCATAGACGTAAGAGTTTTTGTTCACAATATAAAACCTTACCTTTAATTATTATAAATATAACGAATACACAACGTACGTATTGCACAAATAGATTCAAATCAATATGTAATTCTGAATGCCATTAGAAATTAGCGTAATTATATTAATATTATTATGTAGTCGCCTATAAAATCAGGACTTAAATCCTACGAATTTGTGGATTTCAAATTTAGGTGATGCCTGTTCATGTAATAGTATTTGTATTTTTTTTTTTTTTATGCATAAATATAGTCATATTAGTAGTCAAAAATACTAATAAACTGTAAAAAATATTTAGATATTTAGTGTTTGTTATTTTGTTGAACACTTGTAAGATTTTAGAATTCCAAGTTTTGAGACGAAATATTGTTTTGAAACACCTAACCTAACGTCTTTTTATTATTCCTTCCATTTAAAATAATTTTAAATTGAGTTATAACTTCAAAATTGTATATCTTCCATCGAAAATAGTTGTAACTTGAGTTACTGGTTTTTGTACACGGACGTAACTCAATAAAAAACGTGTAAAACTTTATTCAAGGAGTTTACATTTTAACATAACATTTTTTTTTTTTTTTTTAGATTTGTAAAGATTATATAATGTATACACTTAACTTACTACAAGTAATTTATTTAGTTATAGACGTTGAGATCAATCATTAAATTCCTTCTCCTGAAAGGCAGGGGAAAATGTTGATTATTTTGTTAGATTCTGAGCGTAGCGAGTAAAGTATGGCAGGTTTTACAATGGTCTATAGACGCTAAAATAATTTGTCTACTTGACATTTGGCTCCGATTTTTAATTATAGCACCATTTCTGAAATAAAATATTGTATAGTTACTGCATTGGGGGAAGTAGATTTTTGCTTTTTCTACGCAGTTAGTTTAATTCATAACTGGGAAAAACCGGAAGAACGTAGGAAAACAGAAAAGTTTACGGAAATTTGGAGAGACCTAAAACTTTTCACAAATTACTAACATTAGTCCTTTTTAGACGTTGTTATATTTTCAAAACATTCTGGAGGTTTTTAAACTATTTATAAGAATTTTATATTTACGAGTTTTTTTTTAGCTTTTATTTATTTTATACGCGAATGAAATTGTTTTAACCGAATAGAAATGCTTGAAAACTGACTTCAAGGTTCATTATAAGTAGTATTTAGTGGTAAAATAAAGTTCAATATAATCAACAAATTCCACGAAAATCCTTGAAATTAGGGCATTTCAAAACATGTATAACCGAACTTCGCTTAGAATTGTTTTTCTATAGTCATAGTTTATCATTACGTACATATGCAAATTATTGGATAACTAAACTTAACTAACTTAACTAGTTTTCTTTTTTTATTTCTGTTCATAGGTACTTATTTTTCTGATTGATATTTTGAAAATGCGTATCGATTCGATATTGATATTGCCTTCTTTATTACTTTTTACAAAAGGTATATTTTTCTTTTCGAACATTTTTTAAAAATGTAATTTTACAGTTTTTTTTTTCTTACAATACGATGGTTGTAGACGTCGATAGTAATAATTTTAACGGTTTTATAAAAAAAAAGCACAGTCTATTTTTAAAATGATTACATTTTCATTACCGTTAAAGTTGATTAAATAGTAAACCTCCTGTGCACATACGTCTTTTATGAAAAAAAAAAAAAAAACAATTTAAGTGCATGTACTTGTATTTTCAATGTTGAGTCGAGACGAGCCATCCATGTCATATTTTGTTGCAGTAAGTTCGGGTTACACCCATTGGCATTACTATATAGGTGCTTAACTTGTTACAACGTATAATATAATATGTGAAACGAACTTCAATTACTTCTTAGAAGTAATTTAATTCGGTGCATTCTGATGGTTTAAAAGTTTAATATTTACGAACCTGTGACTAGTGCCTTCTGTATCTCTTACATTGGTACGTATTTGGCCCGGAGGTATCAATGTAACCGTCATATCTCATAATAATATTATTATTATGTGTTTGTATACCTAAAAACTACGTAAAAATGTGATTGGTATAAAGTATAATATTATTTATATATTTAAAGTTTTTTAATAATAAATTCTATTTCACTGTCTGCAGTTTCGAATTTGGAAATAGTTGGTTTTCAAAACGATGTGTGTATAGTAGCTGCGGGTATTTGAAAGTTTAAAACCATTTTTAGAATAAAATGGAAAAAAAAAAATATCAACAATAACCTTCGTATAAACGTTTTAAAAATGTTTATTATAAAAAAAAAAAAAAAAAAAGAAGAGCTGATAATTTGTGTTTCATTGTTTTGAATGTACGTTGGATGTTGAGGAGGGAGAATGTGTGATACATAAAGTTGTTTGATTTAATCTGTACGCAACGATACACCATTGCTGGTGAAAAGCAATTCCGAGCGAAGTTCAGTTACGCATGTTTTGAAATGTTGTAAGTCAAATTCGATCTATTCAAATATTTATATATGTGTATAAAGAAAAAGATCTTTTCTGATCACGTCACACCGCTCTATACTGTGCTAGTAATGATGTATGACTGTTCATTAAATGCAAATGCAAGACCTTATGGTAAAAACTCACGGTGTTATATTATAAAGACTTCGAATTCACATTGGTTATAATTTATAAGATGTACATTATTATTACTTTTTTGAAAAATTGTAAAGTAATTTTGTGCCTTCAAAAGAAAACAAAAAAAAAATGGACATAATTCGCACTGAGGGTGGGCCACTATTGTAGATGAGAATTTGGGAAGGTAGAGGGGAAATTTGATGTATGCGTATTCTATACGCTATAAGATTAATTACTACTAGAAAAAAACGATTACGAAAAAAAATGTGCATGTTAGGCCGTAATATTTACGATTCGAAATAATACATATCGTACATTTTCCCGTTTTTCCTACGTTTTTTTTATCGGTTTTCCCTATTTATTATGAAAACTTTTGGAAAATCGAAAAACTACCTTCTTAAAATACAAACCCAGTCGGACTTTCTTTCAAAAAAAAAGTGCCGCGTTTTAAAATCCAAACAAAATATCTGGTCTAAAAATCGTTCACAGATTGCAAAACCAATACATTTTTCGCTCCGCTCAGAATCTAAAAAATAACAATTTAACGAAACTACATTTTTATGTTTCATTAATGACAAGAATTGTAAAGTTTATACTGTTTTTAGATTACAAATTATTACATAATATTTCGTGTACGTTAGATTTTAGATCGGTCGTTGTAAAATATCAAAGTGAGTTGGTTTAAAAATCGAAAACTCCGTGTTATTAAATAAATAAAATGCACGCGGCTCAGAGTACAAAGAGTATTGAACTGAAAATAATGTAACGTTATTTCGACGAATCACAATTTTCGTGGGAAATGTGAGTATAATGTGTGTTTTGTTATTTTGATATATACCTGTAAAAATTGATACGGAAAATCGACGTTCGCTTTGCAATTGATTACTAACGCGCAAACCTTTGATGAATCTATACTACGAAGAAATATATTTTCTGAAAAATAAAAAAAAATAGGTTTGTTGAAATGTTAGTGTTTTTTTTTTTTTTTTTGAGCGCATTAAATATATTATTTTATGTTATATGCGCCTTGGTTTTTCTTTGTTGCCATGGATACCCAGAAATCAACAATAGTAAAAATGAAGACTTGCTGATGGTGAACTGCTGAAAATTTCAAAAAAAGTTCTCAGGACAGATATTTTGTATCTCAAAAGATACAAAATAAACAATATTAATCAGAGCATTTTTGCTATCCGTAGGTATTTTACGAAAAAAAAAAAAAACACCACAACACAAACAATTTAAAAAAAAAAAATATTTCTATTGGTACGCAAACGGTTACTTCCGCGTTCTCGAACTCAAATTGCAGTAGGTATCATCTGGTTTTTCTTTTGTTACGATGAAAATTACAAACAGTTGCACAACTCGATGAAATTCAAAACTCCACCATAGCCTTCGATAGCTTTCGATTTTAGAAAGCCGTATGTTCAAAAATTCGGCCACAGACGAGTCCACGTCTCAATGATATCAATATATTCATCCATGAGCTCTCCGAATCTCAAACAAATAATATTAGCGTCGTGTTTAATGTTTATAGTAATCATCTTCATAGCACTATGGCCTCACAACAATTCTGTAAGGGTGTTAGTCACCGTTGTAGAAGGAGAGAAATATTTAAACGGGTTTGTTTGTGTTTATTGAATGTTTACTTGCCCCACGAAATATTATTTTTTTTTTTTATTGAAACGTTTCAGTTTATTTATTCGGTACTGGTTTTACGTTCCTCTAGTCGTAACCGTACTAATTTTGTATTTCTCAAATTGAAATTTTAACCAATAGACTAGGTTCGAATCCATATTATACTGGTTGTCCCACCCGGCATTGCCCGTGCCAAACAAATGTGTAGTAAAAACTATTTCCCCCTAGGTTTATTGTTTCAATCTCCGTCACCATATTAGGTACTTGCAATTAACCGTCATTGCCCAAAAAATTTTTAAAAATGCACTAATATAATTTTTATTTTCAGACTTATATAAATAAGCTATATGGTTTCTAAGCAATGAAAAATACCTAAACATTTCTTTTTTATCCAACCCAAACTACTGGGTCGTCAACTGATCAGACAGATGTTTTCCATAGCTTAAAACCTTCTCCGCGGTGTACTACGTATCATAAAAAAAAAAAAAAATATATTACAAAAATTGGCACTGGCAAAACCGGACAGGGCAGCTTATATATTATGTACAATATACATATGCCGATTGCCAATTTTTAATATTTTTTTTTCTTTCTTTTTTGTCTATTATATTTCTTTTCTAATTTTGCTTTCCGTTGCTCGTAGTGCCGTTTTCGTTCGTGCTTCAGATGTAAGTCAACCAATCAATTTCCGTTTGGGGAGCATAAACGTTATATAATAACACATTTTTAAGTAATTGATAATTTCAATTTGTTTTTAATCCTAATGATAAACTCCAAGTTTGTTTTAATGAATTCGTAATCGGGACGCATCAATTATACGAGTATTTTTACTGATTTAGACGAAACGATGGGAATGTTGAGTATATTCGTGCGATTTAGTTTATATTTACTGCCGTGAGCAACGGTCGATAAATTATTAAAACATTTATGTAACCGCAATAGAAACTATAAGAAAATAAAACTACAATACATTTATTTCGCTGTTGCTATTTGCTCGCGTGTCGTGTGTTTTTTTTTTCTTCAACTTTTTTAGAAAAACCATTTTAGGATTTTAGAAAAATGTTTCGAATAAAGTATCGACGAGAAAAAAATCCTTATTTTTTTTATGTTAGGTACATGCGGTGTAAAAGATTTGGAGTGTATATATACATTTTTTCTAACAGCAAAAAAGCGTTTTTCGAGACAAAACAAAATATAAAAAAAAAAAAAAAAACACATCTTTGCCCTCATACCTATATAACCTAAACGAATAGTTTCTTCGCTCCACTCGGAATATAAAAACGTAAAACCGTCGTGTGTATGGTTTTTAGTCACAAACCGAATGTCGAATCGAATAATAATAATAGGATGCCGCCGATACAGCTCAGCACTTTCACGCAGCGTTATAGTGAAACCTAGTGGCAGTCTTGAAATTGCGTCGAAAGGCTATGGACGAGGAGGTGTATAACAATCGTTGTGTTTTCAAATATTTCTGCTAAGGGTTATATAATAATTAATGATACTCTAAAAACGTTTCGAAGTCTAGCCACTATAATTGCATAAAGAATATTAATTAAGAAAAAAAAAACTATTTCGATAGTTATAAACTGTAATATCGATTCAATGTATAGCGGGCGGCAATTTTATCGCCATCATTTTATTACCATCATCGATTACCTCTACGAAGATTTTGATTATTTTTTCTCCGGAAGTAAAAACGTTTGTAATGTAGTTAAATATACTACTATATTAATATACATTTAGTTACATTTACCAATATTTTCAACATTTTTCACCTCATTCCGCGTACCTCGACGACTCTCCTCCTCTCTAGTTTTCAACTCGGAAGCCAGTAAACCTATTATTATCCCCTATCAAATAGAGAATGGGCACCCTTCGAAAAACGTATATAGCGATGCGTTCAATTCGTTTGCCGCGGGTGAACAAGTGATTTTTCTCAAATTACGTTCAACTTTCCATCGGTGCATTTAACTACGGAAACGAATTTAATTATGCGAATTGCTGTGTTCGGCGGACTATGCTCTGTCGAATTTTGGGGAACCGTTCGTTAGACTGTATACGCGAGTTAGGCTTGACCCGATTTTCGCGGGCGTTTATTTATCGCCCGCCGACACGGTGAAATATCGCCATGTCGGTCAGGCGTGTCACGGACGGTCGTATACATGTGTAGAAACTTGTCGGTAGTATATATAAAAAAAAAAAAAACCCCATAAAAAAAAAGAAAAAAAAAAACCTTTGTTGACTTTTGCCGGTGGGCCGATATGTAGTGCGAAATTGCTATATGATATAATGTGATTCGACCGAAATAAAAAAAAAAAAAACCCAATGGACTTATGTGACCGGTGGTGTGACGGCGTATTTGATTTCATTGCCTCGGACCACCGTCATCATATTTTTTACTCCGTTAACCGAGTCTGAGGATGCACCGACTGTTATTGAGTCGCTCGGATCGTACGACTAAATATTCGAGTATAAAATATAATTATGCAATATGTTGTTAAAAAATCCGTTTATTTTGTTTCGCGATTGTTTCGAAAAATCCGCACTCATTGAACCCTGTCCGCGCGCAACTATAACTAAAATAAAAATTATTCGACAAGTGTCGCGAAAAAACCGCTCTTAAAATTACTGGATAATAAACCGACCCTCTGGATCCTCTGAACGTACATTCGTTTCGCCAACGATCAATTACCTATTAAACATAATTTTAGCCGAATTTTGTTTTCGCAAGTTTTCAGTACCTAGTATAAATTCGTTAGCCGCGTGTTGATTAATACCGGTTTTTTATGGGTCTGTCTCCGAAATAGTCTCCGTTGCTTACATTCAAATCATGGCGTCACGACCGGGTAACGGAGTATGACAAATTAATCGCTACGCTACTTATATACTATATAGCGTATGTATACTTATATACCTTATATACAAATCGCTAATTTGTAAAACGAATAAACGTCTTGCTTTTTTATGATATTATTGCACTCATATAATATTATACTACGGCCTATATTGAATTTGAACGTATGAAAACGTTCCGCACAATTCTAGGACTGATCGGTACGCCGATCGATACATCAATTCGTTAGACCGCGATTGAATTTAAAATGTTTTGTGCTGCCCCGCGGTTTTATTTCGAATGACGCATATGCAGTTGCATTTACCCTAATTTTCTTCGAACCACAATTATTATCAGATTCGTCTACGTACCCCTCAAGTGATAAACTTGTTATTTTACTATCACTTAACTCAATATTCGTTTTATTCGTATTAATATCGGTAATATTATAATTACTATTATAGGCGATAGAAGTACTGTGGGAGATGTTTCAGAAAACAAAAAAAATCGGCCAATTTACGGTTTTGTATTGAAACATCACGCCGCAATTTATCGCTTTTTAATTTGAAAGTTTGTTTGTTTGTATTGTTCACCATTCGACCGGTTTTTATTCGTCAATACTAAATTTAAAAAAAAAAAAAAAAACGACATTTAAAAATGTACCGTCCCTTAGAATGTACCTATCGCTGTAAGCACGCGGCTATCGTGCTCACATTGAGATGTGCCTGGATATTGTTCAAAACTGCCCGCGCTGTTCGTTTCAAACGAATCTCAATTCGATATTTCGTTCGTCTAATGTGTGCATTATTATGCGCTGGACATATTGTGTGTACACCGACACGGGTAATAATTTAGCTACACGTTTCACAATTGAAATCATATTATCGAATGAAATGAATCGAAATGAGAATTTCGAACAAATATCAAATATTTAATGCAATTTTAAATTTTATCGTGCACCGTAAATAATTATATTGTAATGTATAATCGAACAATTTATAATATCGTATACGTTGTTCGTTACTCGTTTCCGGTATAATATTTGTTTTATGTAATATTATTTGATCAGTTTTATAGATAACACTATGATAACAATAATGTTCTAGACCGTCGCTCTTCGTTGTTGTTATTAAGTATCTATTCATTTTTTGTGATAAAAGCGCATGAAACTTTTATTTTATACCATTACGACGTACGATTGTTAACACGCTACTATGCCAGTCAGACTATGTATTATAATAATACGGTAATCGATTAAATTTTCGGATTTTTTCGTTTTTCGATATCGATAGTTGTTATTAAATAATCGAAAAACACAATACATTTTTACTTTGTCTATAACGCAGCGTGGTTTGTATTTATTTTTCTTATCGCAAACCATCGATTATCTACAAAGATTTCGATTGAATTTTATATTGATTTCGTTCATGGTCGTCACATAATATAGACATTAATATATTATGAATATTTCGTTCCCGACGATTGTATTCATAATATTCTGTTTACGTATAAATCACGATTGAAAAGGTAATGTTTTTTTCGGAACAAATGTTGATGTTACTATGCACTATACAATTTCGGATATTGTATACTATTTTCGTGACGCGAAAGTTTAAAATTTAAACCGGACGAGTAGTGAAGTGTAATAAATTGCACGTCGTCCGGCCTAAATTTTCAACTACACTGAAATCAAAAGTAAAAAAATACATGCATACATAGATTTAAATCGATTATTTTTGTTCTTTTATTTACATAGAAATTTCACTCGGGTACATTTTGTCTTATTCGGGTTCGTCTTGATGTAACGATACGACAATAGTATTACAAACGCGAACGAAAGAAAATTAAAATTATTATTCTAAAACTAATGAGAACAAAAACACTTGTTATTATTATTTTTACGAAATAAACTGCATTGCAAAAAAAAAAGTAAAACCTCGTACCCTCGAGTTGTTCCGTAATATAATTTGATGATTATGTGTTTATGTATTATAATGTTATTATCCATCTAAGTACATTAACGAGAAACGAACCAACTCGTGATATACTTGGTGCTTATAAACAAATTTAATAACGCATACATATTTTAATCCGTCGTATTGAATCAACATTGAGCAGGTGCGAATTAAATGGTCGGTTTGAAAATTTGCACCGTTGTTTCTATTTTTATTTTTTTCTACGGGATTAACGGTAAACCGACATTCACACCTCGTATACCAGTGTCTAAACCTGCTAGATTTTTATTCAATGGGGCACGGGGTCAAAGAACAACACTACGATACTTGGAATATCCTCATCGCGAGAGGGAAAGCTTTTGGGGATTTTCATTAACCGGAAAAGTGGCGGTAGTGACGAAAAAAAACGACAGGTTGTTTATTATTGCACACGACCGAGGATTTTCGATACTCTTATATCGCCGTAGGAATAACTTGTACGGAAATTCTATACGATTGTTGAATATTTCTACGAAGGTAAACGAGATTTATCATTTTATTATAAAAAAAAAAAAATAATAAACCTCTGAGATTTGAAACAGCTAGGTATTCTTGGAAAATCGCAATAATATTGTTTTGAAAATTATACCGTTTCTGGAAAATTCCGAGGCATAAATTATTAACATCCGGTGAAAATTACAAGGCTCAATGATATTTTCACCCAGTTTTTTCTCATTATTAAGAATAGTACGAGACAAATCAAACAGTTATCTGACCAATCCAACGCACCGACTTGGCAACATTATTTTTACTAGATCCACTCCTGAATTTGACGATTGGTGAGAAATTTCTTATCGTAAAGTTGTTTAGAGCGAAAAAATAACCATGGGTACCTATATCAAAGCAAAACGATGATTAGTGATGAACCGATATGACTTTTTTCCGATACCCGATGTTCGGTGTTTGTAACAACCAATATAAAATCGATATTTGGAATTGAAATCAATCGATATATCGGTTGAAAACCCGATGTTTTAAACACTTCTTTGTGTTATTTTTTTTTCGAAAATACTGGATCAATTATCGATTTTGATGAAAATCCGATGTCTTCAATATCGTCCAATATACGATATCGATTCACGGCGATAATTATCGCTAAGAATTATTAATACGTACGTTCTTCTCTTCGCCCGGAATCCGAATGTTTTAAGTGGACATGTAGCTAATTTACGTTCGGCGGGGTCAACGGCGCGCCGTTAGTATTACTATTACCGTGAACTGACCCATTACCAGACTTCGGGTGAGAACATTATTCGTGTTAGCGTTGCTCGAGACACGATCGTTGTCGAATCGTGATATTAATTCATATTGTTCTCTCGGAAATTAAAAAAAAAAAAAAAAAAAAAAAAAAATTAAAACGCAACGTAAACGTTGCACGGATAATAACGGTTTTTGTTTTTTTTTACGTTCGACGGTCAATTCGACCGGATATCAAAACTAACGGCGCGCCGCGGTCGTCCCCCCGTCGAACGCAAATTATTTGTGCCCCGCGCGTGACGGCGAAAACGCACGCGGAAATCGCGCCCTCCTAATGCGTACCGATTAATAAGACCGGTATTGACGTCGAATACGGCGGCAAATGAATCGGCAATATTGAAGATTTCCCCGCGCTCCGGTGTCATTCTACCGATCGGTTGTAATTGTTTTGTCGTCGAACCGGTTTTTCCGCCCCGGCGTCAAACCAATTTGCGCGCAAACCCGAGCGTAAGTGCACGCTGTACACCCGCTATAACATACGGTATTATCACGGTTGACGGTATACGTTCGACTGGTCCGGTATTACTAAACCCGCCGTGGGGGGGTTCGAAATACCGTTTTAGTCTAGCGAGCGCGAATATCCATCAGACGCGATTAGAACAAGTGTACGGTAATATTATAATATTAGCTTACCGAATTGTTCGAAAATGTCGTTTTTCAAACTTTCGTGCGGGTTGCAATTAGAAATTCGATATCGCAAACATTTCGCACACACCGACGCAGACAAAACGATAAGGATAACCGGACGCGATTGGCCGGTTGTCTTGTAAACTGTGTTCGAAAATCAACGCCTACGTTGGTTAGAACGGCCCTAAGGGCGATACACACGCCGTAATACCGATTAATATTAAAAAAAAAATATATATGGCAAACGATTGGTAAACTCGTCGTGTATTAGATCTTTTTTGGGATCCTATAACTATATATATGTATAATCTATATAGTATACAGGTTGATTTTTTTTTTTTTTTTTTTTATCAAGAACCATCAATTTTTTCGGAGAATTTTAAGTGTATTTGATTCAGTATGGAATCGGTTAAACTTTATTTTAAAACTTAATTTTCATCCCTACTCCTTGTATCTTAAATAAGTATATATACTTTTGTTTTTTTTAAATAAGAACCCCCCTTTTTGAACAGAAATTCGAATAGAGATAATTTTTCTAAAAATGTAGATGTGCATAACACTGGTATCGGATTTACCGTTTATGAGTTATAACTGTTTATACTGTTTATAACTTAAAGTTTAGACCGGAGGAGTAGGGTGAAGTGCAATCATGCAATTTATTACCCTTTCCTACCCTCCTTTCTAAACTTTATACAGTTATAAATCATAAACGGTAAATCCGATATTAGTGTTATGCATATCAATATTTCTAGAAAAGTTATCTCTATTCAAATTTGTGTTCAGACAAAAAGGGGGTTTTCATTTTCGACAAACAGAAATATATACTTATTAAGGTATATGGAGTAAGGGTAAAAATTAAAAATGTTTTTTTTTAATAAAGCTTAACCGATTTCACATTGATTAAAGAAAATATACATACCAAATTCATTTAAAATCCTTTGATAAAATTGCTGATTCACGATTAAAAATTACCCTGTACACCTACATTGCGTTCGCTTTATGAATAACTAAGTATGATATGAATACGCCCTTGAACCGTTGTGTTCAGCACACTATATAATAGTCATACCTGTTATACCGACTTACGGTTGTTTTTTTTTTTTTTTCATAACTTATTTAACTTCTTAGTTGTCCGATTTGAAGTCAGCATACGACCTTGACAGGGTCAATCAGCAACCGGACGTGGGTTCTATCAGTCCGGCGTAAATATTTGAGAACGTTTTTAATTTCCGCCTAATTTCAATATTTATAAAAATAAATGCCGTACGTTCAATATTATTATAGAAATATAAAACTAAAACATTTTTTCTGAAAGAAAATCTGACTGGGGTCATACTTGAAGGAAATCATTTTTTGACTTTTCATAATAAATTGGAAATACTTAAAAAAACGTAATATACGTATATATATTTACAGTATAATAAATTCTCGATAAGACACTCAATGATTTCAGATTTTATCGCAAAATATGTAGGTACTTTTACGGCATTTTTTTTAACGACATCTAAAACAAGTAGCTCTTCAATGTAACATAACCGTTATTGTTTGTCATTTTATATTCGGAGAGTAACGAAGAATGTATTGATTTTAAAATGATGTTTTTTTTTTTTTTTTTATACTATGTCCAAAATGTTTACCCGAAATCTTGCTCCGATATGTCAGATTTAGCATCTTTTCCGAAAGAAAATTTTATCTAGTTGATACTTTTTTAGTGGCCATTTTTTTTATTTTCCAAGCAATTTTTCATTAAAGTTGGGAAAAACCAAAAAAAAGACGAAAAATAAAAAACTGATAAATTTACGGCGTCACGATTTCTGCATTTTACAGTTTATGTTTTCTATCAGAAATATTACTCCAATAAAAAAACGGTAAAAACTCATTTTTGTTGCATTTTTAATTTAGACTGGGTTTAAAAAAGTAGCTTTTTGATTTTCTGTGTGGTGTTTTTAATAATTGAATAAAACCGGGGAAAAACGTAAAACGAACGGGTAAATTTGCTTTATTTTAAATTTTGTTTTTGTTTTGTTGTAATTTAGTTGAACTGAAGTTCAACTACAAAATTGTTTTACTACCTGTATCACAACTACACAAGTTTTAACATATTATAACCGTATAAAATTCAGAATAGAGAAAAAGATATTTTATATTTTAAAACTCTATTTTGCATTAATATAAATGAAATAGAATTATTAAAAAACTACTGCCCTTCACCCTGGACCCACCACTGTTTATTGACGAATTAAAAATTGAACTACAAGAGTTCGTAGAATAATATTATAAAATAAAAAGTATCTCTAAAATGTACAGTCATTTTTTTTTTACCAGGTGGGAGAGCGGGAGTCAGCATATTCGTACGGATTTCATTAATTGTGTATGAGTATAAAAATGTATGAACTAATCATAAATATAAATTAATGTTAACGTAAATTTTTAATATTTTGTTTAATCATGTAACAGTACGTTGCGTACGTTTAGTACGTGTTTATGGTTTCGAACGATTTTTAATTGTTTTATTCGGTAATATTTGATTTTGATGAATCGTGTGTATGATCGTAATAAAAATGAATGTTTACATTTGGCTAATTACCAACAAGTAGTCAATCTCGAAGTTTGTATGGAAAATGTTTATAATTTCTTCGAGGTAGGGCCACGAAAGGGGTGGTTGGTTTAACGAAATTTAACCGTAACTGACTCAAAAATCCGTGCACGTTTTTTTAGTATTCTATTTTCTTTTTTAAATACGTATTTTCACAAATTTTAGATTTGTTTATTATATTAATAATAATAATTATTATTATTAGTGAACATTTCGTTTGTTTTGGCTCGGGATGTTTAACTTCCGATCCATTTATTTCCTTACAGGGATCAAGTTATACACAAACAAACAAATTAAATTAACAGAAACCTCCGGACGATATTATCGTAGTGAAAATATCAATGGATAGTTATTACGTGCGCGTTATGCACTAGTATTAATCCAAACGACGGCGTAGATAAACGATGGAATAATTCCCGAAGTATTCGTTATTTTCCGGAAGTATTGGGAAATGTTTGCGGACGGCTACAATACAGAAATAAAAACGATAAATACTATATTTTTTTGTTTTTTTTTTGAGATTCGGAACACAATTTATCATTATTATTTGGAGTTTCGTAAACACGTTTTTTTTTTTTATTTCCGCAATACGACTAGGGGAGGGCAAAGAGTGGGGAGAAAATGAAAATATATTAAATCATCGTTGCGTCTACTGGTATTACGGACCGTCGACCGTCATATTATTATTATTATTTGCAGAGCTGCCGGAAGTCAAAGACCGTTTTCGTAACGTTGTTCTTTTTTTTTTTTTTTTTTTAATTGGCGTATTTGTAAACCGATGACGCGTTTATAAATGCTTCTCAAATATATCGATTGCATCTGAACAAAAAGGAAAAGAAAATATGTGTTTCTTCTCGAAAAACACACAGTAATGATAATTGTGCGTCCGAGTCGAATAGTTACGAATTATTCGTTTGTCACAGCCGGCATACTTACGGTAACATTTTTACGCACTAAGTTGTTTTTTGATCAAATTATCTGTGTATTCGCCCTGTCTCACAAAAATCACGACGCAAGAATAAATACGAAAATATACGTGTGACGAAACCGGATAAAAGCATTTTTGTAATGAAAAAGCAAAAATGTGTGAGACAAATTTTTGTGCAGCTTATGTATAGCTTCATACCGAACCAAGCTGATATTGAGGACGGGCGTGGCCTCTATTGTAAATGGGAAGGTGGGATACATAGTTATTTGGTTTATACCTGTAACCGAAAAAAATCATAAGTAACGAAAAACGATTCGGCGCAAAATTCGGGTTAACATTTTTCGGAAGGCTGCAATATTTACGATTTTCGTTAAAATTTGATTAAAAAAAAAAAAAAAAAAAAAAAAAAAAAAAATAAAAATACTTCAATAAACAAATTTTTTTTCGACAACCAAGCACGACTTATATTGAACCTCCTATCAAATTTTCAAGTACAGTAGAGACCGCTTATTATGAACATTTCGAGACCGAGGTAAAATGTGTCAATTGACCGATAGTTTCTAATAAACGGCTTCTACTGTATATTTCTGTTAAGTCTAAAATTTAATCTATAGAGTACCTACCAAATAAAAACTATCAAAATTAAAATATCTATACATTTTTGAAGAATTGGCTCAAATGTTCTGAATGCTTTACCACGTCTAGAAAAGGTAAATTTAAGTTTTCTATTAACATTTTAAGTCCTCACGAATGTTTTGGATTGAATTATATTAAATAAACACAATTTTAAATAATAAAAATAATATTTTTTATTATATTTATATTTTCCTATTCTTTTTACGTTTTGTTTCGGTTTTGCTCAATTATTAAAATAAGTACAAAGAATGACTTTCTTGGTTACCAATTAGGTTAAAAGTTCAAAAAAAAAGATAACTCGATATTTTTCAATTGGACCAGTATTTATGGTAGAAAACATAAGTCGTACAAATTTAAAACAATGATAACGTTGTGCCGTAATTTGAAAAAAAATCGTATATTTCGTCTTTTTTGGTTTTTCTTAATTATTATAAAAAATACTATACACGTGTATACTATATGTATACATATACATGAAAAAAAACGAATTTCTCTGTCGGTGGCTATGCGTTTAAAGAAACAAAGACGATCGATTTTAATTTTTCAATTGGAGTAATATTTCTGGTGGAGAACATAAGCTGAACATATTAAAATAATTAAACCGAGACGCTACGTTTCTGTAAATATTAATCAATTTAAATTTTTCGGTTTTTCCCAATTTTTATCAAAACTACTTTGGTTATCGGATAAAAACTTACTTGGTCAATGGTAAAATATTATAAGGAACGAATTGAATTTCTATCATTTTTGAATTGAAGCAATATTTCTGGTAGAAAACATCGTGTAAACACAATTAAAACTGTAACGTCGCAGCGTGCCGTAAATATTTTCTATTTTACGTATGTTTTTTTTTTTTTTGTTTTTTCCCAGCTATTTCGAAATCCACTCGGAAAGTCAAAAATAAAACATCTTCAATGCAACGGCTAGAAAAAATTTAGTTTCGGAAAAGTTGCCGTAATCTGCACTACGTAATATGTTTTCCGGTAGAAAAGTTGTTCACAGATACGAAAAAAAAAAAAAAAATAAATAAATACAAAAACACACATAGTAAAACCGATAGATTTCTCGTTACGCTCCGAATCTAAAAAAATCATATGTCCGTACCGTCATACAAACTCCGTGCAGTGATACGTTTTTCAGGAAATTATATTGAAAATGTATTAACCCATACCGTGTACACAATATACAATAATAAAAACGAAAACGATTTACAACTACATAACATAATGTTATAATAAATGTTCGAAGCAACTCGGCGCAATACAAATCAAACGCATTCCAATGTTTTAAATATCGAATTTATTATGGACACAAATAGTTTTTGATTAAAACATTTGTATTTGTAAACACGAATTAACGGGCGCAACATAAAGCGTCGCAACTAAGGTATTAAAAATATTGAGCGAAATTTCTACGTAGTTTATGTTATTAATTATTATTTTTTAGATTATTAGCATTGCGAGGGATCCATTGATATTTCTATGATGTGTGCGTTTTTTTCTGTCTGTAAACGACTTTTCACAAAGAAATATTGTCTCTTCGGTGCACTAAAGAGGTAATTATTCGATTTTCCGAGGGGTTTTCAACGTAATTCGGAAAACCCCGAGAGAAAATTATAGGCAAAACGGCAAATATTCACAGCGTGCCGTGATGTTACCGTTTTTATCGAACAGGGGCAAATGAAAAAGGCTATTTGAACGTTGGGACAATAATCGGATGTCAAAATAAAAAAAAAAAAAAATTAAAACGTAATATCAAATGAGTTCTATATATTTATTATATAACGCCAAAACATGTTAAAAAAAAATTTTAAACATTAAACAATAAATAATAAAACAATAAAGTAAAAACAAAATTATTAGAATGGATATAAAAATAAAAAAGACGTCCTAAAATAATTGGGACGGGTGCAGCCACTGTTAGTAGATTACTGTAGATGATTTAATGTGTATACCTGTAAGCAACAATAAATCATAACTTGCGAAAAAACGAACTTGAGCGGAGTTCAGCTGATAGTTATACTTTGTCAACAATGTAATTTTATAGTAAAATAATTTAACCGGCTTTATATATTTTCTTTAATAATGTTTGTTTAGTGTTGTATCGATTTTCCTAGTTTTCCTACGTTTTTCCTGGTTTTTCCATTTTCACATTTGCTGGGAAAACTCTCGAGAAAATCGAAAATGATCTCCTTAAATAGTACCTCCCGATGCCGATTTCCTTTCAGAAAAGATGATACACTTCACTCCACTCAGAATTTAAAATAAATAAATGAATAAATGCGTTGCGTGTTTTACATTTCGACTGTGATATGCCTGATGATGAATTTTTAATTCGAAGCCGGTCGCATAATAATACTCCAAGTGACGCATTTATTTATTTATTTTTATAATTAAAAAATGAATTTATTATATATTTAACAATGAATGTCGATACAAGAGTATTATTTTTTGTTGATTTCTAGGTATCACGACTAAAACACTAAAACATCCATGCCCAGAATTGTCCAAAAAATGTTTTAAAAAGTTAAAATTATTATATTTAAAAGTTGTATGCATAATATTAATAAAGTGAAATATTTTGAATAAGTTATACCTGACATCCAAGTTTCTGGTCTTTTATTAACTGCTTACGGAAAGTACAAGCTGTACGAGATGTATTTTACGGCCAGCTTATAGCAAAAATTAAAAAATTAAAGAAATTCATTGATGCGGATAAATTAATTTTAAGAGTTATTCAAAGTTATGAAAGTAGAACTAAAACAACATTCTTTCGTAGGATCGCTCTAAATACATTTCACTTAGTATTATGTATATGACTTTAATTATAATATTTTCATCTTTATATTATTTAAATACACTGTCTCAAATACATTACTTTACTGAATTATAAACAGTTGTATATTTTTTGGAATAGAGGGGAATTCTGAGTCTCAATCTCCCCGAAGAAAATATATGGTTCAAAAGTCATAAATGACTTGCCACGAAGGTATAGAGAAAGAGAACATTAATTTATACAGGGTGATTTTTTTTGTCATAAACCAGTAATTATCCCGGATGATTTTAATTGAATTTTATTTCTATTTTTATTTTAATCTTTGTAGAATTGTTTCAGCTTTATTTTAAAACCATTTTTAATTTTTTACCCTTACCACATATACATTAAATAAGAATATACTTTTATTTTTTCAAATGGGAACCCCTCCCCTCTCTTTTTAAGGCCACTTTTACGGCCAGCTTTCATATTTTCACAAGAAATATTGTTTTTTTAATACCTTTACAGATTCATTAAAGTACGTGATTCGGTTAAATTGAGTAATGAGTATATATAAATGTAATTGTTGTCAAATACCCAATTTTGTAAGGTTTAAACTTTCAAACTCCAACTCCACCATCGGTTTTTAAATTAGCAAAATTCTCTAGAATTACTTTATTTATCTTGATTAAACTTAATTTGTTCAATTCCTTCTCATAATATTAAAAAACAAAAAAAAATCGAATAAAACAATTTTATCTTGAAAACGATTTTCTTGTAGAGTCAAAAAGAAGAATAATAAATATTAGAATAATAAATTAGAAAATTAAAACCGTACATTTTATTTTGAATATTTTTTTAATTTGTTTGCCAACGAATTTCATTGACGTATTTAGCCATTTATTTCTAGGATTAGTTCAAATAAACTTGAAAAAAAAAAAAAATAGATACCAACTGAATGTCTACCTACCAACGTGTAAACCACTTCATTTGTGTCAACGATTCGATTCAGGATGACGTTTCGGAGAATTTGCATCGTATGCAATATGTATATTTTGAAAATAAAAATAAATGTAAATAATAGTGAATACAATTATACATTACAAAAATAAATTGAGCTTCAAATGATTATAAAAAAAAACTACTGTAGTATGCTTTTAACATTTATTTTGTTTAACACTAAGCTCAAAATTTTCATTCATTTCCGCTTGACCAAAACAGTTTAAAAAACAGCTGATACTGTTAATGGGTGTGCCACTGTTGTAAGTGGAATTTTGAGAATGTAGTAAACATAAATTAATTAAGTTTGTAACTAAAAGCAACGATAAACTATTGCTAACGAAATACGAGTCTGAGGGAAAGTGGTGCTTAAACTATATTTGAATAGTGTATCAGAATTTAAAATTCAAAATCAACACAAACCTCAAAAACGTGTACCCATATAACTAAATACTTTCCGACCCCTACAAATACTATCATGAATGTTCATGAATATTCTATCTGACTATCCCAAATCCCAATAACCGGGGAACATCCAAAAACCCAAAATACGATGTGTAGCAACTGATATACTCGAACTATTTTATTTTGTGCATCACTATTGAGGGAAAATTAAGATTTCCGTAAAAATTTGATATTAAAACGTTTATAAAATACAAACAATTACATTGGCTCAATATTTTTTTTTAAAAAAAAAAGTAATAAGTAAGACTGAAAATTCCGTTTTTCCCCGGTTTCGCCCGATTACTAGGAATACTACGCGGAAAATCGAAAGACCTAACCTTTTTCTTACCCACCAACAAGATCCAAAATACTAAAAAAAAGCTCTCTTGTCGATTTTCGATTGGTGTACGATTTCTGGTAGGATAATTGTTTACAGCCGGAAGAAATCAAATAGCTGACGCCATAGTAAAACCAATACATTCCTAGTTGCGCTCAGAATTCAAAATATAAATATTCCACTTTGAAACTATGTTATTGTATAAGAGTTTCTCGACTCCGTTTGGAATTTAAAATAGCTAAACGAGTGCGTCACCGTATTATACTAATACGAGTGTATATGTAGTAGTATTATCGCCAGTCACGGAGCCGCTGCAAAAAGTTAACGACGTTAGGGCGGGTCTCGTGTGTAGGTGTTTAGGAAGCCGTTTCACCTGAAGTTGTGACGTCTTCGCCGAGTCAAACTAAAGGAAAATAAAGACAAAACGTCGGCGTATACCGATGTAAAGGCAAAACTGGAGCGCCGCCGGTCTTTTGAAATTTGACACGCTATAACACAGAACGAAATATTCGGCGGAAAAAATTTATTATCATACACCGATTTACATGAGATTATAGATTTCGCGTGCAGTATATCCTAAAATGCCCGTAAAGTAAAATATCGTCGCGCGAGCGGCCGTTCTGGTCTTTTTTTTTTTTTTTTGATGTGTAAATGTCAAGTCTTTTTGGAATAAATTACTATACTATTAATAATCATTGTAAAAATGATCGCGTTGATCTATAATTATTATTTTGGTACTAGGTATACTCGTAACTGATGGCTGAAAGTTTATGATTTAATTGATTCAGTGCATTTACCGCGTGATTTCAAAACCTCATTTTACTAATTTCACAATGCAAATATTTTTATACAGTTTAAGTTAAACGTATACATTTAAAATAATAATAATAATAATTTAAATTAATAAAATATAAGTAAACCGAAACTCATTTACCCGTGTGCGCGTGCAAATAACAAGACTGGACAAGTTTAACGAACAATATTAACTCAATAAAGTGAAGTTAACTGAAAAAGAGTTGATGCGTTTATACGCTAAAAATTAATGTATCGATTGAGAAAATTAATAAGTTAAACACTAATTTGAAAAGTGAATGAACTTATCAAATTAAGTTAAGTTAATTTTTTTTACGAAAGTATACCTACTTATTTTAAATTCTGAACTTTGCGAACATTATTGAATATAAAAGAAATATTATAATGTATATAATGGTATCTGTTAAAATGGTGTGTAGATTATTAATTTAATGAATGTTAACTAAAAAAAAAAAAAAAATGTAATTAATTTATCGTGATATAATACCAATTTAGCTTGTTATTTGTTAATTTAGTCTAAAAAATGAATTGATTTTAATTTAACTCAATAAAACAAATAAAATATATTAAAAGCTAAAATTGACTTACATATTAACTTTTAAACTCAGCCCTGGTAAATAATGTTGACTTCTACAGCTATTGATAAAAAGTGTTTAAATGTAAACATTAGAATACTTTTTCAGTGTTCGAATATATATTTTAAATAATTTTACAAAACTGACAGTGTATTGAAATCAAATACATAATTTCAATAGTTCTATTTATAAATTATAAAAATAGTTTTCTATATGATCCCGTAATATCTACGAGTATATACTTAACGGACACATCACGCATTACACCGTGTTGAAATAATCGAACGAATGGAAACGTATGTATTTATAATTACTTTTCAAAAGTACCTGTTTGTAATCACGCTGAATGTAACACTCATAAGATTCACTGAACGTGAAATACTCATAAAACTCGTATTCTAAATATCTTTAAAAATAATATTTTTGTACGTATTTGAACAAGCCTGAAATAATATTGGAATATTTTTAGGTACCAACTACTATAGGTACATCTATTCGGAAACTTCGGATCCGGGTAAGTGCGTCCGGTCGAAGTAATTCGATTTTGATTTTATAGAGCGGATTACAGTTTTAAATATTATGAGTAGGTACGCGTCGAACGAAATCTCCATGAGAACTATAAACTATTTTATTTTTTTCCTTTTCATTTGTGTAAATATTTACGACGTTACGTCGTATACGTACAATTATACACGGTCACTAAGGATAATAAATGTATGTTTATCTAATCCTAAACATCTGCTTAACATTTAATTAGCTTTGATATTATTATGTGAATAAAGCCAAAAAAAAATATATATGTATAAAAAATACACCGAAGCGAGTCGGACGGGACGGCTTTTAGGGTTAAAAAAAAAAAGAAAATAAATAAAAAACAAATGTACGCTAAATTTATTTTTAAATTTTGGATCAGGCAGAGGTTATATTGGTTTTCTTACTGTGAACGAATACACGTGTGTGTTTTTTGTGATAAAAAAAACATTTTCTAGAGCATAAAATTGCTTAAAAAGTTTCGCGTAGGAACTTTATATGGATAGATGGATAGCCGGTATGTAATTGTTAATATTGATTACATACTTTTACCGTGCACCGTGTAGTAAAAATAGGTTAGGTAATGTAACTTTTCGAATTCTCCAGTTCCGATATCGGTATATTGTAAATTGCGAAAAAGCAAAAGAGAAAAAAAAAACACGAGAAGGAAATCCTACCAACATAACCCTCCGATTTCTTAATTCTCGGAATTTCGTACTATAGTTTTTCAATTTCAAATTTAAATTTCTGGTTTAAATTCTGTGCCGAAAATCAGCTGACAGACCTTATTATTATTATCAGTTATTACTTTTCGTATCATTTCTATTAAAAACTTACCCGTGCTTAAGTTTATCTTTTCCGTTTTTACCTTAACGTCTACAAGTCCAGGGTCCTTGGCTTGTTGGAGGCTCCAAAAACAACTTAATTATGTCATGTACGGAAAGTAAATTTCGATGTTCACGGGTTTTTGTTCTTATAAAATACAGTTGATGCAGTGATAAATAACATAAACATATATTTTTACTTCATAAATTTAAGATCTTAGTTATGTTTTAAACGTTTGTAATGTTAAATAAGACCTTTCTGGTATCACCGTCGACACTGGTAATGTAGACAAATTGGAAGTTTTGAATTACTGTTTGACACATCGATTTTCTACCACCAAACACAATTTAACATAATTGATCTAGGGGATATACTCGTATTAAGTTAGATATTAAAATGGTCTTTTTTTTTTTATTTGGTCCGTGGGCCCTCCTCACCGTAAATACACAACCGACTGAATGTGTTCACATTAAAATGTACTAAATTATAAATAATAATATACGTGTAAAATATGTTTTGTTAGGTGTATAAAATAGTGTTTTAATTAAATACCTTACATACGTTCGTAAATATTTTCCTATGGTAAAATGACGTGAAATTATAGCATAAATAGTTACTAATGATTGGATGTCGATGTCTTAAAAAGAGAATGCTGGAGTTTGTTGGTTAGGTTACACTTTGAAATGGACTTGATGATTTTTAAAGTTTGGTCTTCATTGAGAATCGCCATCTCTATATCGTATTGATATCGCTCGGGGGACTAAGAATTGTTCGTGTTGGTTCTTATAAAATATCGTATAACATGGAGCATCCCTGGAGTGTGTGTTTTATTGCTATACGTGTGAGACATGCGTATTGTATACTGGCGAATGATTTTCGCTTATTAGAAAGGAATGTGTGGTAAACGTGTGTCCGATTCTTATTGTGACGATTCTAAAATTCGAGAATAACGATTTATAATATACATATAAAAATGTCGTCCAAAAACAAAACAAAATTCATTTAATGCTAAAAGTGCCTGTAAGTTTCCAAACCTGAAAAACAAACGAATTTTCAGCCGAGACATCCAAGTATATTAAAATGTGGGGGAGGGGTGAAAGGAAGATGCGAAAATCGTACATCCACATCATAAATCGACTAATAACCACCATACGAAATGACGAAATCGTAATAATATTGTAGCTATTGATTTTGACTTTACAGACACTGAACGGTAAAAGTTGTCGCGTTTTATATGAAGATATTTTCGAAAATGACGCGTTTAATTACGACTGCGCATTAATTATAATTTATCGATCGTGTATTTTAAATTATTATATAAAAAAAAAAAAAACCGTCTTAGCTTTTCCATCGGCCGAATCGTAGGAATGCGTTCGGGGGCAAGAGGACGAGGAACAGTAACTTATTCGCACAATAGAAGTTTTCACTGCCTGCTTAATCGCTCTCTCTTTCTCTTCCCGATCTTTGGTTAAATTTAAAACATGTCTAAATGTAAATCTACGTAATTATAAAACTTATCATCTTCAAAGTTGGAAGACGCATTTAAATGTTGCGTTTAATCGATGTGCGTTGCGAAATTCACACACAGTAGGTACGATAGATGCAGTCTTTCGGATTCAATTAATTACTATAGATGCCTACTAGTGTTATTCCGGTTCGGTTACCTGGTATCCGGTATACCTGGCCTTTTTTTAATTCCCGGTACTTGGCCGGCCAAGTCCATAAAACATTTTGTAAAGGAGTCCTACCCGGACTCCGTGATTACCCATACATAGTACATACCTAGGTGAGTTAAGCGAATAATCCACCACGGTACGTACATAAAAATGCTCATCAATATATTATCAATTTATCCATTTATCGACGGTATCTTTTTTTCGCACTCGTGAAGATAAGATAACAACGCACTCGTCACACGGAATTCTCTTTACCTTCTGTACGGGTCGTTTTGGCCATTTAATATTCCTTTTTTTTTTTATTTCTTTTTTTTTTTCGTACACCCGGCCAAGTACCCGGTACCCGGTACTCGGTACTCGGTCAAATGTAACACGCGTAACAACTCTTATACCTGCCTAACAGTTCTATATTTTATTTACAACGGAATAATATAATA